ATGCTATATAACCATCTGAAACTATTTCGTGGAGAGATCATCTTCTCCTCGTTTCCCAAAATTACATATGAAATATGTTACATGTGTTGAAGATCAAAATATCTCAAGTTGGAGCTTTGAACGTCCTTAGTATCCTGACTATCCGGATCACCATGTCCCTGGTGAGATATCAAAGCTCGAATAAGTTAATCTGAGAAGATGTGTCATCCCAATATCCAATGATTCTCGTTACTTTATTCAGTAGGTTCCAAGCTATCAGATATTTGACAGATATTATTTCAAAATCACCGAATATATGGCCATTTGCGTCTGCAGATATTTTCGAAATTATATAGAGTCCTCTGTAATTTTCCGCCTCAATAATATTACTTTTAGAACATAATTGATGAAAATCATCTGATTGGAATTAAATTGACCGAGACAACTATCTCAAGCAACTATTTTCTTTATAGATAGTAAATTACATCCTGGCCCTGGTACTAAAAATCTATTTGATAGTAAAATATATTTTCCATCCTTTAATTTTAAAATAGCTGTACCTATCCCAAATGAATAAAGAAATCCTCCGCCAACTTGTATTCTCCTTTGACAAGGTTTTAATGCTGAACTGAAGAGATATTTGTTGTCAGTCATCGGAGATGTACAGCCCGAGTCAGCAGCCCAAGCAGAAGGTGGGATCTTACTGCGCTTTTCCCATGAGAGGCTACCAAATTCCTCATCATTAGATTGAGACTCGTCGTAGAATTTATTCTCCGCAAATTTTGCATGCTCATGGCGGCGAAAAGGTGATGATACGCGAGGTCTATTTGATGAGTTTTTTCTCCAATTTGCTGACGAGCTAGGTTTACTGCTGCGCTCAGGTTAAGTAGGACGTTCGACCTTACGAGGTCTACCATTGCTGTTATGTCGACGAGGTGGCAGGTAAACCTTCATATCTTCGTCGCATTCTTCCCCTTCTCTCCGGATGCGAGCTTTTCTTGCAGCCTGGAAACCAATCTCAGCATATGGACATGAAAAGCTGGTATGATAACTAGAGCCGCACTTAAAGCAGCTTTGATCGCGTTCTACCTTAGCTTCATTCGCATAATCTATAGACCTCCCACTGTTCATGTTAAGTCCATTGGCTGTCATATTTGTTTGAAAAGCTCTTTCTTTACTGCGAGATTCTACCTGTAAATAAGACCACTTCTCATCTAGCCTGTCGAGGCGCTAAGTGACTATCATATTGGGGAGAAAACCTTCTGCTAAGGTCATGTATTAGTGCCTTGGACGAAGTCCAGCAATGAATAAATTCCACATGAATTCTATAGAGAACTAATTTCTAGGAGAGAATTGATGAATCTCCTTTCGTAGCTTGCTTAGCTGTGTATAATTGGTTTAGGGGCTAATTTCAACATTCATCTCCCAGATAGTGAAAGCAACAATTCTGCTGTGCCCAGAATTGTAAGTAGTCTGCTTGTACCTAATTTTGAGGCAAGCGTATTGAGCTGGTATTCCTACATTTTCATCCATCATGTGTTTGTCGGCTTCAGAAATCTTAAATCTGATGTTCAGCCGAAAGTTTATCTAGGATCTTTTATCCTCGATGTCTTTTTCTGGAAGATTCCGCCATTTTATTAGTGTGCCATCCTCTTCGGCAGTATAGGGTGTCCACCGTGCGTCTGGTTCAGTTTTTCTAGATGTGTCTCTGATGTGAGCGTATTCTCTGTTTGTATGTGTCAATAACCACTTTATCCCGTCACCTTCTAGTACTTTTTCAACTAGCTGGAACCATTCTGTTTTAATTCCTTTTGTTAACACAGGAACTAGCTTCGATAGACCAGTTCCCTTCTCTGAGCTATTATCGGCCAAATTAATTTACTAAACTAGCTTCTATGTGACCTTTCCTTCGATTTATATGTAGCTGAGGTTAACTGTACGAGTCGGCACAGGTGACTAAAAATCAATGTGCGAAGCTGAGGCTAGATGTGCCAAGATAGGGGTATTTGCGGATATTTGCGAGTGAATTAGAGTGAATGCGAGTAGATGTGAATGAATGCATGTAGGTACGAGCAAGCTTGAGTAGTTGCGCCTAGTGAGCTATCAGCGAGATTCCTATACCACTGGTCTCTTTTGATACTAAAGCCTCTGTATAATATATAGCCTGCTTTGTCCCATAAGCCTGAGTGAGTGAGTGTTTATTGTCCTAGTGAGTCTATAACTATACAAGGACATGTAGGCCCTTTCTACCTACAGGCCGGGAGTATCTATGCCTCGGGTAATGTACTCCTTCCTATGACTCCTTCACGACTTCTTTCCAGCAGTAATACCCCCACAGGTCTTCATTCTAGTACACACTAAGAGGAGCCGTTATCCCGTCATTATCTCCCCTCTCCAGCCAACGAAACGATGGCCATTTGCGGGTGTGTAGCTGCAGGGAAAATTCTCAAAAACCACTGGGTGCGGGGCTCTCCCATGACAAAGAGGCCGGCCAACCGGGCGCAGCAGACCTGTGTATACCTAAGAGCGTCCCTCAACCTTTCTAGCCTCCTCCTTACTCTTCCCCTGATTCATGCCGCAGGACAAATCGTAGGTCGTGAAAGGATGTCAGAAAAGTCTTGGTCGAGAGTGACAGTCGTGAAGGAGCCTAGCCTAGCATCCAAAAGTCGTTACGGACGTGGGGTCGTCGAGTGACTCATGTATTTCAGATGGCCTCCTGGCTAGTAGACTCAGAAGTTATGATTAGTAGGGAAGATAATATAGACGAGTCGAAATCTGCTTTTCTTGAGGGCGGAAGGGTCTTTTACTTTGCTTTCGTGAGCTTTTTGTTCGCCCGCCAAAAAGAGCTTATGAGGGAAAATCAGGGCATGACCCTCATCATCTATTGGAATATATCAAATAACTTCATTTTAACATTGAAATAGTAACGAGAATTTTGATGGGAGATTCTAGAAGTCCTTCATAGTCTTAGACTCAGAAGGGACTATAATAAATATTCTTATTCTTATTCTGTTCGCCCGCCGGTGAGTAGCATATGTTGTAATATATCGAGGGCTTCTCTGACTACCGTTGTAGCGTTTGGTACGGCATTATTTTTCCTCATTCCCGGCAACATTTTCGTCGACTTTGTAGTCTTGTGTGTTATCGGAAGCGTATCATTGGTGGAGTGGGAGATAACCCAGCTCAAAGTTGAAAAGATGTTACTTAATCTCGGCTCTGCAGACTCTACAGTGAGAGCTGGAGGGGAGGGCAAGACTAAACACCTCTACGCGGTGTCCTCTAGGAACCTGGGAATGAAGTATTCTCCCAGACCCAAGTTCAGTCAAATTTCGCAATATCAAAGAAGCTGGCTCACGAGGCAAAATTTCAAATTACTCCACCATGTCAATCTTTCACTCCCAAAGAGTCCGATTCTCAACTAAGCTTCAAGTCTACAAGTACGACATAGTACATCCTCGTTATAATGATCACACCTCTCGTCGACTTTCTCTGGCCTTAGCCGGTCACCAAATACACGCCCACGCCGATATTTATACCCGACGGAGGAAGCAAAGCGTGGAGCACAAATCTGGGAGATAGCTCTTTGGGATGGACGTGAAAGGGATCAAGACAAATTTACTAGATGATGCAAAAGAGGGATATGTTTTCGACGGGCGTGAAATTTCGAATTTTACCATGGAGTTTTACGAATTGAGCTTTGTGCGCGCCAAGACTTCGCTTGCGAGAGTGCAGGTGACACTATAAAGACAAGCAAACGATGGAAGGTGCCGTGGTCCGCATCCTGGTGGTGTTCTCTGGTATAGTCTGAGTAGCCTGGGCACCTATTCCACTTGGGAAGGAGACATCTCAGATCATATTTCGCGCGGAGAAAAGTTGATGGATGACGGAGGCATGTCTGGATAACTCAGGGTTTTTGAGACGTTCCCCTGGGTGGGTATTCACGGATGAGGGTTGACTTGGGGTGAAGAAAAAGCCACCATAACTTCGCAGTGGTACTTGCAAATGAAATCTGAGGCATGAATGCTCCTCTTGTAAATTGAGTCATCTTTTCTGTACTTTTCTTTGATATTGTGTCATAGCTAGATAGCTGTATACGCAATTAAAATCTGATGCAAAAAAAAAAAGAGATTCGCAACCGCTTACGCGGGCTGTATTGTTTTCATTTCTAAGCACATTTCTAAGCACATTTCTCTGTCACTATTATCACGAAACTAGCCACGATTAGATCAGATGTTAGGGTCGGAGTCCTACTCATTACCAACCCTTGATCATGGAGGAAAAGCTATCCGATGAGTTTCCGGAGCGTACCCAGCACCCGATACGGAGATGGTGGATTGGATCAAGTCGGCCTCGACTGTTACAAAGAAGGGATATATAGATGAATATGCGCACCTCATGTCGTCCCGGTGTCTAGGCCTCGCCTGGCTGGGGCTGCAGGATTTTTGAGACTTTTTCCCGCGCTCGCGATTTCCATTGCTACCTTTTTTTTTTTTTTTTTTTTAGAAGAAGGTTCTGAGGAAAAAGTGGCCGAATTCCACGGGTAAACACTGAGCTGAATGGCTATTCATCACGAGCAATATATCAATGATCTTTTAAGAAGCATAAGCGGCAAGGAGCACTGTACAAGGTATGGCCTGGGTCAGAGAGGAGCCCAATGTGCTTGATAGTCTAAGACTCAAGTAGTACAATAAAAACACACACCAGTCGTCAATCTTTGTCCTCCATTATGATCTTCGCAGATGTTTTCATTTGTGAATTCTCAATAGAGGTATATTGACTCTAATTAGGAAGGATGTTTACTACAGAACTGGCTTGGAAAAGTATGGTGCGAATACTTGGCTCTCTACACGATACCAATCTCAATACACAGACCGGGCGCCCAGGCCTGAACGTATGTGACCACCGGATGGATGTTAAACGATGTGTATCCCTGCTAACTAACGCTAGGTACAACAAATTCCCGCCACATAAAATCCTATCGTTCTCAATCCATCGTTGGTATTACTCCACTCCTCACAACCATGTCAACATCTTCACTATCGCCGGCGTCCTCGGTGGCGAATTCTTCGGGTATGTTTCTGGTAAGACCAGGTTCGGCCCCGACATTCGCTGACGTAAAGTAGCAGTGACCCTCGAGAGTCTCACGCTACCGCAGCTAAGTCAGATCAAGCGCCAGCTTGATGAAGAGCTCGAGCACCTCACTACCTCTTTTGCGCAGCTCCGCGCTGCGATGGCTAGGTTTCGCGAGTGTCGTCGTTCGCTAGATTCTGGCGTTACGCCCGCTATAAAGGGTGCGCTTTTACCCCATGACCTTTTTTTCAAGCTTGGTAACCTGTTTCAGAAAAGCCTCTGCTCGTGCCGCTCACAACATCGCTCTATGTTTCTGGGACTCTCGCAGATACTGAGCATGTCATCGTTGATGTTGGCACAGGCTTCTTCCTCGAGAAAGTACGTACTGGGGGACTGACCCACCCTTCGCTTTCGCGATTCTAACTTCCTGAGTCAGACTGTCACGGAAGCCGACAAATTTTACGAGAACAAAATTAATGAGCTAGCGTCGAATCTCAAGGACTTAGAGGCCATAGTGCAGGGTAAATCAAATAGTCTGCGAGCGGTCGAGGATGGTAGTTATGCCCAGATCCAAATCTTAAACCCCCTGCTGTTCAAAGAAAGTTTTAACATTTACAGTACTACGCCAGAAGGTCCTTCGCGAAGGGTCCGTCCCCAAAACTGCTACAACCTAAAAAATAGAACAAATTCAAATTACTTTGGTTGTTATATTCATATGTCATAGTGACACATGTCTCAGGAATTTCGTGTAAAGGAAAAATCACCTATAAATACCACGGAACCGCCCATGGAGTCTACCAAAAAAGAAAGAATAATATTATGCTTTGCTCCTTAATACTCAACCTCAAAAAGGGTCTGTGACATGAAAATGATGTTCGAGAAATTGTCCACAGATTTTCTCACCAATGTATATTTATAAACATCGCTCGATTTCAACGCCTGCAATAGTCTCAGGAACAAAAAGTTATTATAAGAAATATTCAAGAACTATCATGGCCAATTATGGAAAACAGTCGATATAGATCTTACTCGCCTCACATAAGACCCCAGTATCCCTAGGCTTCTATATTTATGATAGCTACCCCAAAAAAATTAATTGAAACTTGAGAGCCCGAAATATGGTTACAATGAATTAATAAGATCCTCTTGGAGTTCCGTCAGACCTATCTTTATACGTTAGAAAACCTCACGGTCTTTCATGTTGTTCAGATAGCTCTTTATTAAGTTGACAAATAAATCCCTGCATAGTACGAATTTCGTTGAGAAAATAGTGGAAACCTGATGGCTGCTGGACTCCTGGCTTGAAAAAATTTTCTAGATCATCCCGCCAATCTCTCTTGCCTAACTTGGTAAACATATCTCGCGTCTCTTCATCCCAGTCAGGGTGAAACATGGAGATACTACAAAATATCTTTGGATCTCCCGTAGTTTTTTCTGTTTCCCATTTTCGATAAATAGCTATTTCGACAACGTAACCAGAATCTTTCTTACGATACTGGACCACACTTCTTACCCAGACCGAGGTAATTGTGATGGATGATGAAGGTGACATAGGAGCAACATTTGGAAAGTCTAAACCAAACACATCTTTACGAAGCTCAGTCTTACTGGGGACCGAGTCCTTGATTAAGTCTCGAAGATCGGATGGTAGATCCACAACTCTATCTTTGTTATCTGCTATAAGCTCTAGTTTCCAATCTAAGTGCCTTGAAAAGATTAGTATCAGAAATGTATCGTCATATAATGTGATTGCTCTTCTGACCTTTCAATATCGATTGTTCCGACTTCGACAAGCACATTCCGCCTATTATCTCGGTACAAAGCTGTGCTACCTACTTGGTAGACTTGATTAGGGTCATCAAAGGATCTATCCATTTCACCCTCCATACGGAATAACTGGTTATTGCATTGAAAATTTATAATTTCCGAATCTTTAAATGGAATTTCTGATAGCTTGGTCAGACCTTGCACTGCACAAAAATATTCAGATAGCGGGCCACATATTCTATTCCTTAGACTTAAGGCAAGTAGCGGATCACCAAGACTGTGAAAAGTCAGAAAGATAATGCAGGCATATCCTGGTGTATCTGCTTACTTTCTGTCAATGTTTGCTGAAAACCTTGGTGCGGCAACCATCTTTAAAAAAGACTCCCAGGACAATCCTGTCATTGCAAATTCATTGGTGTAATTGGTAATCATTACATGCCCAAAATGAACACGCAAACGCATCCAGTTTTTGACGGGAGCGTAAATCAAAATATTTCTAACCAAATGTTCTCGGATGATTTCAACATTTTTATTTAATTCTTTTGCGTGGTTTTTTTTCCATGCCACCTTTTTCCTACTAGAAAGATAATTTCCCTGCAGCTCCAACTCTGCTGCTCTCAGAGGATCCTTCTCAACAATTTTCGGCTTTATAAGTGTTCTCATCACCACAGGAGATGGTGGATAAACTATGTGCAAAGGAGTTGCGGTAACTTTAACAGCTCTGGCATGATCGATGAGACCTCGTATTCCGTTAATTGCGTTCACAATTGATTTATCAGCACTCTTGATAGATATGCTACTGATGTTTATGCAATTATGATCTTCATCCCATTCAATCCACACGTGATTATTCATTCTGATCGGATTCAAGTCCTCAAGCCTGGGTCCAAGTAGAACAATTGCTGACTCGTACCAATAAGGCCATAGGTAACATCCCTGATTTCTTTAAGCAGCCTTGAAGTTAAAATTCGAGTGTTAGGAATTTTACCTACCCTAGCAGAAAATTCTTGCCCCTCGGGTGGTTTGAGAAATTGTTGGGCCTCTGCCCTCTCTGTGGCTGAGGCTTGCCTATGAATGGCTAGTCTTGAAGAAATAAGCCCCTCTGGCTTTCCCCATTTTTTACCCTTGCCTGTTGTACTTTTTACAGCGGATCGATCTTGTTTCAAAGTCTGTAATCTAGTTGCGGCTAAATCTGACCTGATAGCAGGGCCGAAATTGTATGATCTCCGGCTGTTTGAGTTTTTTGGTCTTTCTGCCATAGGTTTAGGCCAGGCCTGAACACCCCTAGTCTCAGGAGACGCATCCTGCGAAATGCTAGTGTGTAAAGCTTTGGTAGGAGCTGATACTTTTGCGCGAGAAGCTAGTAGTGGAGGTACAGAAATATCGACAAGAACATTGCTCGTCTCAACCACGGTCACTCCAGTATCGCCAACGAGATCTGAGCCATTATCCGATAGCGCATGGATAGAATCGGTATCCCATTCTTGTATCATATTAGCACCTCATTTAGAATTATTTGCAAGATTTTTAAAATTACCTCTGGCTCTCCGATCTTCAAGAGCCGAAATAATGCTAGAAGTAGGTCAGCTGTGTCATATAAAGTCATATGTGGCTGGCGAGGTATACTCATTGGCAGAGGACATAGTAGACAAGACACCTTGTGTTAAATCAGGACAACGATGATGAGAAAGAAGTAATTGTTCGATTTTTGCGGCCTCAAAACTACTGTTGTAAATGACTTGTCTTTACGAGCTCACTGATTACTTCAACATAGTGCCTGCCTTGGATATATGTGAGGTAAGGCCTAACGAGACATTTCTCCTATTGATAATGTCTGAAAAAGCACGTGCAAGATATTCACTGGCCACCACTGTGTTAAAGGTCAGCTCACGGATGGCAAAGGCTAAGCATCTGTTGGAATTACTCTCAACGAGTATTAGGTTAGAATTTACTCTGGTTTCCAAGATTTGATTTTGAATTTGATTTCATTTAACCCGATTTGGCGCCCAGTGGGCCCATGCAGGCGGCTATGAACCTATCTATATATTTACATGAGGAGGAAACCTTGCGGTAAAAACCCCCTCCCCCTATTAACTTTTATATTTCTCTATAGTCATTTTTACCTATATGAAGTGCAATTGGCCATTAGTCCGAAACAGGACTAGCTAAAATTATACTCGACCTCGCCATCCTTTCCCTGCCCTCGCGTGCTAAAAAGAGTCGACTTTGGTCTTGAGTTTGACCCCGATGGTCCAAATAATTGTGGTGGTGGGTTGACCAGAAGCTGTTTGCGCGGGCGTCCTGGCCCTCTCTTTAATACCTCCGGCTTTTGGTGGGACACCAGTGTGAACCCTTGGTCGTCTGTAGTTTTTGCCGTAGTTGTTGTAATAGATGCCGTTTTTAGTATTTCTCCTTTTCTGTATTCCGCCGTTCTCCATGAGTTCATACCGTGCCCGTTGCACGCTGGCTTTGTATGCCGCGAGGTTTTGACACGCCCCCTTCTGCCACGATTTATGGTCCTTGCCGCAGTTGCAACAAAGCACCGACTTCCTAGGGTTGTCCCTGGTCTGGTGAGTGCCCGCGCACTCACCAAATCTCCTTACCCTATTGCAAGAGGCTTGGGTATGCCCCCATTGAATGAAGTTGAAGAACTGCTTGATTTGCGCTCGGGGTGACCAGAGCTGGGCCGTGTACAGCATTGAGTTGTATACAATGCCGTTTCTTATCACTTCGCGTTGAAGTGCCTCTGTCGGCAGACTCGCGACGATTGACCCTCGAGTATGGCCGTTAGCTCCCTTTCATCGGTGCTCCTTTCCGTCAAAGAGCCATCTCAACCTGTTGATTTTTAATTCGGGTATCCGAATTTTTGTTTCTGCTTCATCTTGATTTATAAACTCGCCGTTATTTGGATTTTTACCTCCTCTTATAAATGTCCCTAATGGGATCCCCAAAATCTCAACAGGATAATCCTGCTTCAAGACGCAGAACTGTTTGGCTGCGCCATACTCAAGGCAGCGTCTCGCTGAGAGACCGACTGCACAAACACCTCCGTATCGTTGCTCCGCAGCTTCCTTACTGCGTATGCCCCCTCAATGTGTATTTTCGCCTTGTCTAGGAGCTCTGCCGGCCCCATATTTTCTGCTCCTTGGACTCTTATTCTGACTGCCGCTTTAGTCGCTGGCGGCGCGACGATTGAGGCGTATGTGGGTCGCCCTCTCATCCCTTGTACTGCCGAAGCAGCCGTCTTGCGCGACGGCTCCTCGAGATTCTTCTTAACTGCCTTTTCTAAGGCCAGCATCCGTTCTTCCATTCGTGAAGCCTTCAGCTTCGATTGTAACGTCGTAGCGTGGGCTTTGAAGGCATCGAGTGCCTCACCTACTTCGACCATCGGCGTCGCAGATTTGTCAGTGCCTGCGATAACCAGTCTGTCTCTGACCTTGTTTAGAAATAATCCCACTGTCATTAATGTATCCATGTTAACGCCTGTAGAGGTTGCGAGAGACTCTACAGCCGTAATTGCGGCGGTTCCGCTGTCCGTTGGTGGTGGTTTTGGTGCCGTGAAATTTCTTTTTCCGCCGCGTAATCCACCTTTCTGGCTCTCCAACTCGCCATGCCGAAGCGCCACGTGAAAAAATTGGGGAATCAGGTAAGAAGGACTGATTGAGATGGGAACAATTATGAAAAAGATGAAATAACGTTCATGGAACGAGGTCCAGGATTTGATTATAATTAAAGATAGGTTACATTGAGAATTAGGGGTTGACAGCTTCAAAAAGGTCTAACTGATATTCTGATCGAATATTCGATCTACAGATGTTTTAATACCGTATAGTGGCCAAATAATAAAGCCATCAACATGTAACTCTCTACCTGAAAATTTTTCTTCCGGAGATGATAACTATTGGAA